GCGCGTATACTCAAGCCAATAAAGGCAACCTGCCCTCGCAAATGTGGTTTGATTACCTACTACCCGACGACCCACAAATGCTGCTTCCTCGGAAATCCGCGTAAAGTCATCCCCAGATTTGCTAGCTGCCCTCCTCCTCCCCCGAAGTGCGGTCTGCGTCTTTACAATCCGAAGACCTTCAAATGCTGTTCTGGTCGATATCTCATTACCAAATATAGCAGTTGCCCTCGCAAGTACTAACGTGGTCAAGTTTCCTACAAGTGATCCACAAGCTACCTTGGCCGGAAAGTCATACTGAATTTTTCCTCGAGAGAATTTGCATGAAAAGTAATAATATGAGAAAATCCGTTCTATTATGAATAAACCTTACGAATAGTTTATTTGGTAATCTGGTAACAATGCTAATTTTTAAGACATTTATTTAAAGTGTTCGGTTGTAATAAACTTAGAAGCTATTCTTATCAATGTGTTATTGCTGTTAGAGAGCAGGGGGATTTCCTCATCAAATTGTGCGTGCTAAATTTCCCTAAAATCCTTCTTTGGTCTCGGCTAGATAATACTCACGCCTTTTCGGTTTGTTCGAGCAGCTCTGGTTTGTAGTTATACCTTAGTTTTTAACTTTCCTTGGGTAATAAGCGTTAGAAATTAAATTGTCCAGAAATTTCCTCAGCATTGACCTGAAATAGACCACTAACCGGTCTGAGTCCTTCTTTTGTGGCTCTTTGTCAGCTAGGAAAGGCAAGTTATGCAAAGAACCAAATATGGCTGAACATAGTCTCGTGTGCACCGTGGTATTCATCGTTTATGGGAGACAGTGTTCCAATCGTCACAAGAAAAAAATACATTACGCATTCAGTACCAAACTAGTCAAATTGCTCGTGTAGAACGAAGGATTCTGAATGACAATATCTCCCAACAGGGAAGGTTTCCTAAATGGCTTCAGGACTGAATACGAAATAAAGCAATAAGAAAGGACAACAAGTAGATAGTCCTGGGAATCACGATGTTCTAGTACGCAAGAATATTTAACCCTGTTGGTTATGGTGACCTGGTTATAATACCCGTTGCTGAAGGAATAACATAAACTATTTATACTTGATTGTCGAGAGTTCTTCTGACGCTGACGTTCCATCTTTGCGCAATCACGTTAAAATTCGCCTGGTTGGCATGAGATAGTCATTTGCTCAAAAATCTGTATCCGCCTGAGTCTAGATTCTACTTACCTGCGCGTTCACTCAAAGTATCCCATGCAAGTAGTTTGCGGGAATGGTACTTATTAACTGAAATATATAAACTAGAACGTAGCTGCATGCACGACACGATTATTTTGAATCACAATGGCCATAGTGCTTGCGGAACAATTGAAGAAAATAGTCTCTATACACCGAATCGAAATATGGCGTCCAATTTGAATTGCCATCGTTCTCGACTGACTAGCCTCTCACACATGTGATAATCCTTTTGTGTTTCCACGTCAATACTAGGGTAGTAAGTCCAAAATAATGGTAATTCAAATTGGACGCCATATTTCGATTCGATGAATGGTCTCAAATGTTTTCTAGCTGAGCTATAATGTAAAAGGCCTTCAGGAGCCAAACTGACCGATTCCTCGTGCCTTTTTTTTTAATCTTTTTTGTGTCATTGCACCTAAGTATCATTATTTGTATGGATGTAATTTCAGGTTGTTACTACCGATGGTTTTATGGTGTTTTACTGTTTATTTGTTTTATTGCCGACAGCGACAAATTCTCGAACACAATATCAAAA